AGAGGAAGCAGGATTTGCCTTCAAAAGATGCTTTATATTTTGGATACAGAGTCAATACAAAGGTGATATACACCCGATTTGAATTGGTAAAATATGTAAATCCTTGCCTGCTAAACTGTCAGAGATTAATGTCTGAATAGGAGTAGGAAGCGCCAACTGTAAAATTACACAGGGCATGGCGATTACCCCATCCGCATAATGGGGCTCGATTTAGAGGCTCTATTTTAGGATTGCACATAAAGCACCCAATGCAGAAAGCCGAGCTTTGTTTAATTTGTCCGGGGCAGTGCCCTAATTTTCTACAACACTATTCACTTCCCTCCTTTAAGAATGAATAACACATTTTCTTTATGGAACTCTGTGCATCTTTCATTTGGGAGCAATCGCTTCTCCAAGCTCCTCCATTAGAGTCCTCTTTTGTTGCCTTTTTATAATGCTCCTGGATTATGGTAAGTTGCATTGTCTTTGTTGCACTTAGTCTGCCCACGCAAAGAACAAGCAATACCCTTTTTGACATGGCATAACATAGCACTTTACACTTGACAGAAGGGAGAGCTAAGACCTGGGAAGTACAAGGCCATGCAGTTCTGATAGACCTGGTTGACCCACCTCTGTCTTTGCTACCCAGCAAGAGAGCTTGCCACCTGAATTGGTGTCATTGTGGGTGTGCTCTTTGGCTATCTCTTGAGACTTGGAATTCATCTCATTTCGGCAGGAGCTCAGAGGACTTTATTGTAGATGTGAATAACCTGGGGACTGTAATACCTCCTTTCGATTATTACTGGTGTTTTACCATTAAGGTTCAGCCTATTCAGGTAACAAAGTGCAAGATTCACTATCTTTTTCTTTTCTTTTTTAAATATAATGTTTCTGTTGGCTTCCGCAGTTTAACATTTATGAAGTCCTTTTTAAAATTTTGTTAGTGGCTCCATTTTATTGTCTCAGACGATTTTTCTTTTCATTGAAAAGTAATTTGTGTTGGTGAGACTCTTAGTTTCAGGGATCAGACACCTAACCCAAGCTCGCTGAAGCATCACAGAGAATGTATTGGCTCATATTCTCTCTAAGTCTGTGGATGGATCTGAGTCAGATGTGGCTGGATCCAGGGCTCAGCAATGTCAAGTCTGTGACCCTCTGGATCCCGGCCCTCTTTGTCTCTGTGCCATTTCATTTTCAGACTGCCCTTGGCGGGAGAGCAGGTCAGCAGCTGCTTTGTACTCACCTCACCCTGGCCTGGCAACTCTGTAGTTGAGGCTTCTGGAAGAGTCTGTTCAGCCAATCTTGAGTTTCCTCTGAACCAGTGCCTTTAGCCAGGTGTACGCAGTACTCGGGTGGTCAGCCTGTGTCCCATGTTCTTTCCCAGGGTCGGGGGGGCAGGGACAGCTCTGCTCCACAGGGCAGCTAGATAACAGGGGAGACATTTCCTCAAAGGGGGCACAGGAGTGTTCTTATCACAAACAGTGAAAACTGTCACACTTCTACCACTCAAAGATTTACAAGAGCAGCTCAGAGCTACATAAAAATGTTAATTTTCTATAAAAAGGTGTATTATTGTAGACTCAATGACTCGTGAGATAATTCACAGTGTATTTCCCTCTTTACCTTCATCCTTTCATTGTGGGCAAAAAGGACAAAGCCATTAAAGAAAAAAACTCATTTTAAAAAAATTTTTTTAAAGATTGTATTTATTTATTTGACACAGAGAGAGCGAGCACAAGTAGACAGAGCAGCAGGCAGAGGGAGAAGCACGTTCCCCGCTGAGCAGGGAGCCTGTGGGACAAGATTCCAGGACCCTGAGATCATGACCCGAGCTGAAGGCAGATGCTTAACCGACTGAGCCACCCAGGTGCCCAAACCCCCATTTTTTTTTTTAAAGAATCATTTCTCAGTTTCACATTCAGATACTGCCTTAGCGTCTCCATTCAGCTAGTCTGATGAACTCACACGATTTGCAATTGTCATTTGATTCCCCAGTCTCCAGCTACTGTGAGAACCCCTTTCAGGCAGAGGCTCACATTTCATTTCTGTTCCAGCTGCGCCTGCCACAGTGTCTGGCTGAGCACAGGTGTTGGGGGAGGGTGCACGGTGGGGGCCGGGGAGCTAACGCAGGGCACTTGCCTGCCAGGCGGGAGATGCCAAGGCTCTGAAGAGTTAGGTAGCTCAGGTTACACAGCCCGTGTTAAAGTTGGCATTTGAACTCCATGATCTTCCCGTCCCCAATTTTGGGTTTTAAAAATGTTTTTGATTTCTTTTACTTGGCTCTCCGGCTGCGTGTGTATGCCAGTCTGCAGCTTCCCGTCTCTCTCCGTGCTCAGCGACTGGACCAATAGCCATGACATTTGGTCCCACGGTGGGGGCCGGAGGACAGTCTCCGAGCTCCTGGGCACTGTGGTGGTCCAGCCTTCAGGAGAATAGAGTCGCCTCTGGGGCCATCTTTAGGAACGTACTGCGTGGCAGAAGTCAGGCTGAGTTGAGCTGTGTACTTCTCATAGAACTCCAGCAAAATGGCAGATGGGGGACAGTGTCCCCACTTGCTTGTTACCTCCTCTTCTGAGCCAACTCTCCCCTTTACCTTATTCATCGTATGGCCTCAGTTGCTGTCCTGCAGGGGCAACCAACTTTGCCTCTCACTCTTAGGTGTCTGTGGTGCTCCTCTCAGACACCTTTGTAACTCCCAATGTTGGACGAGAACCAGTTAAGAACAAAGAAGCTTCCAGATTAATATGAAAATGTGCCTTTTTGTTTTAAAAAAATACAAATCAGTACTCCCTGGGAAATATTAGGGTAAATCGCTCCCATTTGAAGACACTCCAGGTGTGGCAACTTTGTATCCTAGAAGGTGGCAGTATTGGTCAGGGTTAGATCAGAGAGACAGAACTATTAGGAGATATGTCGCAAGATTTATTCAAGGCCCTGGTTTATGCAGGGGTCGAGGTGGGCGAGGCAAGTCTGAGACCCTTGGGTCAGGTTATCAGGGAGGGTGGGCTGGAACTCTCCGCACAGGCTGAAGCTGCCGTCCACAGGTAGAAATTCTTTCTCCTCAGGGAAGCCTCACCTTACCTGTTAAGGTCTTTCAGTGGATTGAATCGAGTCCACCCAGGTTATCTAGGATGTGTCTGCAATTCAAATGATTATGGACTTTAATCATACCTACAAAAATACCTTCACAGCAACACCTGATTAGTGTTTGGTTGAGTGACAGTGTAGTAACCTAGGCAAGTTGGAATCATTGAAATCACACGATCTGCATTTCCTAGTTCATGGGTGCATCTGAATGTTGTGCTTACCAAAACAGTGGACACATGCTACAAAACCAGCTCACCTGTTTTTCTTTCATCTCTAATACATGCACATTCTCCTGACACCTTACCTTTGGTTTGCTGATTCGCAAGGAGGGACAGACGAGAGAGAGTAGGAGGAGCTGTGTCTGCCCTGTCCCTTTCCTTCTCTGTTGTCATTTTTCAGTGTACGTGGTTGCCTACTACAGGAAAGTCATACAAATAAAAGGGATTTGCTAGAGTTCCTTGATCACTTGTGTTTGTTAGAATACAACTGACTTCTTTCTGCATTTGAAGCAAGTTCTACTTCTAAAGCATGACCCCTTGGGGCTGCCAGCCCTCTGATTACTGAGCCATAGGCTTAACATGCTTACCTTGTACTCCCTTTGCATCTCGTCGAATTCGATAGGGATGCACGTACTGTGTGTATCTCCTCTACTCACTCATGTACGCTACCGTCTCATTGGACTTAGCTTATGAAGCGCAAGCTCAAAGATAAAGTTATGAGGGATTTCAAGATTGTGACATTAACCCAAGAGCGTTAAAGCATGGAGCTCTCCTGAGCATGGGACCCTGTTGTAACGGCACAGGTTGCATGCCCGTGAAGGCATCTGTGCGTGTCTGTATGTGTGCACGCACATGCTGTTTTAGATGATGTTGATAAAGGAGGACTGTCTCATAAGGTGACACTCGATCAAGGTCCTCAAGAAGATCAGGAAGCCAGATATGCAGATACTAGAACAGGAGTAGCATGTTCAGAGGTTCCAGGGCACATGAGTCTTTGCCTTATTCTCGGAAGTATAAAGAGGCCGCGGTGGCTGGATCCAAGTGAGAGGGTGAGGGGTGAGAGATGAGGTTGGAGAAGCAGAGATCCCTGAATTGTGCATGGGCTCCAAGGCCAGGGAAAGGACTTGGAATTTTTCTATGAGAAGAAGGGAAGGCTTGGGAGAGTCTTAGCAGAGGGTGACATGCCATGATTCGATTTTAGAAGGCTCCCTCTGGCTGCGCTATGGTAATACTCTGCACTGGGGCAAGGTTGGAAGTGGTCAGACCAGCTGCTATGGTAGACCAAACAAAGATGGGGCCTGGACTGGGTGTATACATAGCAGTGATTAAATGTAGCTGGATTCTGGGCATGTTTTAAAACCGGTGTCAAATGGGAGCTGCATATAGAATAGATATTTACCTAGAGTCCAGCCGATGAAATGGTCTATTGAGAAGTAGTGAATTTCCTAAAGTTCCACAGCCAATGCATGGCAGAACTGGGGAAGGCAGAGAGCAGGAGTCTTGTGTTCTTTTTCACTGGGTCTTCTCCTTTTCCATTAGCTCTAGATTGCTCCTTCAAATAGCTCTGTTAAACATTCTCTCTTGAACATCTTCCCTTATTTGGCTGAAATGGGCATGGTTGAATCGCTAGGATTCTATTTCTATATATCACTTTGAAAGAACTTCTCAGGGCAAGAACCTAGGTGATTCTCCCACTACCCCATGTTCCCGTGGTCTCTGCATGGGGGTTGGCCGTCTCCTATGGTGTCACGTTAGTGCTGTCCTGACAGTTTTTTCCCTGCACTTTACGAAGTATCTCTTGACCTCCCTTAGTAAAACAGAGTTCATAACACAAAGATTTTGCTCCTGAATTTGATGTGCAGTTGCACCACGTACAATGCTAAAAACTTTAATTGTAGTTGGCTTGCATATTTATTTGTTTATCTTGCTTCTCAGCACTTCCAGACCATGCTGAAGTCCAAGTTGAATGTCCTCACACTGAAAAAGGAGCCCCTCCCGGCAGTCATCTTCCATGAGCCCGAGGCTATCGAGCTGTGCACCACCATGCCACTGATGAAGACAAGGACTCACAGTGGCTGCAAGGTATGTAGATGTGGCCAGCAGGGGCCCTCTTGGTGGGACAAACCAAAGGACGCATAGCCTTAGGGCACTTGTTTGCCGGTGGTGACTTTCTAAAGGAATGAAAATGTAACACGACTAATGAGCTCCATTGAGTGATGGTTGGATGAATCCATATCTTGCTGTATTTTTACTTGTTTATTTATTTATTTATCTTTTTTAAATTGACATATAATGTATTATTAGTTCCAGGGTACAGGTTTGTGGTTCATTAGTCTTACACAATACACAGTGCTCACCACAACAAACACCCTCCCCAGTGTCCATCACCCAGGCACCCCAGCCCCACCCGCCTCCAGCAACCCTCAGTTTGTTTCCTGAGATTAAGAGTCTCTTATGGTTTGTCTCCCTCTCTGACTCCGTCTTGTTTTATTTTTTCTTCTCTTCCCCTATAATCCTCTGCCTTGTTTCTCAAATTCCGCATATCAGTGAGATCACATGATACTTGTCTTTCTCTGATTGACTTATTTCGATTAGCATAATACCCTCTGGTTCCATCATCTTTGCAAATGGCAAGATTTCATTTTTTTGATGGCTGCGTAATATATATATATATATCTACACATATATATACACCACATCTTCTTTATCCATTCATCTGTTGATGGACATCTGGGTTCTTTCCATAGTTTGGCTATTGTGGACATTGCTGCTATAAACACTGGGGTGCACATACCCCTTTGGATCACTACATTTGTATCTTTGGGGTAAATACCTAGTAATGCAATTGCTGGGTTGTAGGGTAGCTCCATTTTCAACTTTTTGAGGAACCTCCATACTGTTTTCCAGAGTGGTTGCACCAGCTTGCATTCCCACCAACACTGTAGGAGGGTTCCCCTTTCTCTGCATCCTCGCCAACATCTGTCGTTTCCTGACTTGTTAATTTTAGCCATTCTGACGGGTGTGAGGTGGTATCTCATTGAGGTTTTGATTTGGATTTCCCTGATGCCGAGTGATGCGGAGCATTTTTTCATGTGTCTGTTGGCCATTTGGATGTCTTCTTTGGAAAAATATTTGTTCATGTCTTCTGCCCATTTCTTGACTGGATTATTTGTCCTTTGGGTGTTGGGTAGGAGATCTTGCTGTATTTTTAGCAATCGGGACCACTCTCTATCATTTCTAGGTATACATTAAAGACGTAAGTTCTAGTATGTATGAATAAAATAGTCTTCTCACTGTATTTGCTGTAGCCCTATGGAACTTTGGGGCTTCCCAAGGAAAATTCTGTCTTTAGTGATATTTCCTCCCTTTGTATTTGCACTCTGAATAAAACACATCTTAAAGAATAAAAAACAAGTTTCTCAACAGTGTATTCTCCTTTAGGGGTTATTTTGCATTTTTGTTTGGCTTCAGCTCTCAGAATTGATACAATATTCATGCCTCAGAATCCATTAAAAAACACTTTTTTTCATTTATGTAAACTGTAATGCTGACATTAAAAAACCCTAGAAGTGAAATGTATAATTTGGGTAAGCTTTTGGGTTCTTTCTCCCATGATATTCTTTTTTGCATGAATTGATGAATATAGCGATCAGTTCAGAGTTAACAAAGAAAATATGTTTATGCATATTTTGTCATCAGCAATTTGTTTTGAGGAGTAAAAAATTAAATGGGCAGAAATTTGAGTAGTGAAAATAAAGCAAAAATGTATGTTTGCTTGTGGGTTTCTATTATAACCCTGTAGACACACTCCTTTCCTTATTGCTTTACTAGGTTAGGGAAGTCAAGGTCCATTGATCTTTCTTGCCGGAATCGTCCATCCCCTCCCCAGTTCTTGCATCGCTGTGGTCAGATTGGAGCCTACAGAAATCTTGAGTGATGGCTGTGTACACAAACCTCCACACATCCCGCAAATATCTCACTGTCTGCCCAGCACTGGGGACAGTGGGAACAACACCCACCAGCATCTTTGTAGGGTTTAACTTCTAGTTGGGAAGGAGGGAGGAGAAAGTACAGGTAAACAAGCATTGGCTGTTGAGAAAGCCAGTCGGAAGGAACTTGTGGAAGAATCTTTCAGGCAGAAGGGACAGGGAGTGCTAATTCTCAGAGGTGCAGATGGTCTAGGTGTGCTTTGTAATGGAGAGGAATGGGCAGGAAGTTGAGAAAGTTGTGTTCCGTGATGCAGTCAGTCAAGGGTCCAGGGTAGAGAATGGAAGCCTTGTCATCGCGGCAACAAGGAATTTAGGCTTTGTTCTAATTACTGTGGGGAACCGTCAGATTTAGGCAAGGGAGTTAGGTGACTCCATTAAAAAAAAAAAAGTGATTTTAAATGGCAACTATGCTAAGGTGAACTTTCAGCTTCCAAAGAGCCAGAAGCTCTGCTTCAACTGGAGACAGTTGGTCCACAGAACTGGCCTTAGGTCCCCATGTATGCAATGCTTTTGGTGAATTGATGATACAAAGGAATTATAAAAATACTCATTAAATTTGAAAGTGCTATGAGATCAAATTGTGTTATACATACTTTAGAGATTTCCTAGAGTCATTTTGAATTCTGTTCCTGTCGGGGAAAATGGTCCCCAAAAGCAAGATGAAGTCAGTAGGGGCAAGTGAAAGGAGGAGAGTTTCATTTGATAAAGGCTTCAGGGTATGTTTAAATGGGAGGGGAAAAAATGCAGTTACGGAATAAAAGACCTAGCAATCCAATCAGGAAATGAAAGGTGTGTGTGTGTGTGTGTGAGAGAGAGAGACAGAGAGAGACAGAGAGAGACAGAGAGGGAGAGACAGAGAAATATTTGCTAGGAGAATACAAACTATCATTTTCATGAAAAGGAGCATAGGGTCTGAGATTCATAGAGTAATTTATTTTTCTGTGTATTGCCTTAGGTTGTGTTTGCTAATTTTACTTCTAAAAGAATGTTGGAAAAAATAGAAGGAATTCAGAAGAGCACACGGAAGAGAGTGAGGTTGCCTTGGCATCAGTCAGTGGGACTAGCTAGACAAAGGGAGATCATCAGTGATTTCACCTGGACACAGGGAAGAACTTCAGCATTCAAGGTGAAGAACACATTCCACTGGGCTGTAGAAAGTTTATGAACTCGCCATCCCTAGAAATCTTGGAGATTCCAGGTGTAGATAATCAGGATCTGGAATCAGGGATCTGGGCCAACTCTAGCTTTATGATTCAATTTGAAGGAAGAAAACCCCCAAGGTATCATTCTTCAAATGGTATACTATCATGCGCTTTATACAGTTACATTTTGACCTGAACGCACTGGAGTTACATTCTTTAATTCTCAATGACAATCTCATGTTTGTGTTCAGAGTCACATTCTTTCAATAACAAAACAACAAAAAAGTGACATGTTTGAGCCTTGGAATTTCTGTTTAGAATGCCCTGACCTCCCCATTCCGCCCCCACCCCCATCATCCACAGGAACAAAATGCAATGCTTCCTCTCTGATTCTTACGAGTAACTTAGCTCACAAAATGCCAGCTGCCGAAGGAGGAGCTCTCTCTCGGGCTCACGCCTGCCAGGAATAATGAGCACAATGTAGCCCAGGCCCAGCTGTGGGGCCAGCGGACAGGACCCTCCGTCTGCACACACTGCTAGTTCTTTTTGCCTCATCAGCTCTCCAGGCGTGCTTGTATGTGTAACTGTGGGTTTGGGGAAGGAGAGAGGCAGGGGGAAGCAAAGGAAAAGGGAGTTGAAAATGGATTATGGTTAGCACCATCGAGGCTCTGGCTCATCTCAGATTTCCCCTTTCCCTCTGATCTGTATTCCCGGTGGGTCCTGATGGCATTGCCCTGCCGGGCTATTCATGTTGTGGGCAGCTGGGTCTTTGTGTGTTTTCCTCTATTGCTGCCACTTTTTTTTTTTTTCCCCCTGGAGTGGAGTTATTGAACTGCAAAACCCACTGCATACCATTAGGATGCGCCTGCCCGTACTCTCGTCGGAGCTTTTCAGGGTATCCGATGCTGTGTCTGATTTTGCCATAGCAGCAACAGTGGTTGGTCATACCTGGCTTCTCCTGCCTACCACAGAATCCGAGGTGGCTTTGACTTGTTAGCAAACATTTATTTAATTAATAGTCATTGAAAACCTCCTGTGTACATGGAGTTGTGGAGGAAGGCATCAAAGCAGATGGTGCGGGTGAGGCAGTTTGTAGTCAAGTGGAAGGAATAGACGAGTGCCTGAACCAAGAAACCTCCAGAGCTGCTGAAACTCGTGTTGTGTGTCAGAAAGTCCTGGAGGGCAGGTTTCTGGACCTTCTTTCCAAAGATTTTGACGCAGGCGCGTAGCTTCGCAGGCAGAAAAGAACCTGTACTTAAAAATAGATTGTGCCATTTACGTGACTGTGGGACCCGGGCACTGCCTGGAGCTTGAGGCCCTGAGCTGCAGAGTGGTGTGTGAGAAGAGCCACATAAGTGATGTAAGTGGATTCACACCTGCGGAGGTGGGAGATGGGCCGGGACATGGAGGATGGAGCTAGCTGACCATTGTGTGGTTAGGACAGGTTTGTCACAGCTGACCAGGAGGCTGACATCCGAGAAAGAACTGGCCTGGGTAATTTGTGCATCGGATGCGTGTGCGCTGCCGACAGCACCTGTGGATGCCGCCTTATCCAACAGGGGGCGCTGGGTTCTTTGTTGGAGTCACTCACTTCTGGACCTACTTGCCAAAGTTCTCAAAGCCTTCATGAAATGGTGATAATGATGATGATAATTAGTAATAAACTACTAACACAGAAACAATAATAATTAAGAGCTGATGTTTATTGATACATTAAGCACTCTCCTGTGCACTTTTCATGGTATAGAACCATTGGATCCTCATGATGACCCAATGGTTCAAGTGCCGTTTGTGGCCTCATTTCACAGGTGAGTTAACAGAGGCAGAGAGAGGTTCTTTCCTGTACCAGAGTATCCAGTGAGTAACTGGCAAAGCCTGCATTTGAACTTCATCCGTCTGTCTCCAGAGCCTCTGCTCCTCCCCACTAGATTCCACCCCCTCTTAATGACCT